ATCTGGCCCTCCACTGCAGGGGCAAAAAGGTCACAACCCGCCTCTGCATGACACCCCCTCACATACCTGTATGTCACTAGCAGGTCCTCTCCGAATCTCCTCTTCTCCGGGCTGAAGAGACCCAGTTCCCTCAGTCTCCCCTCATACGGCATCCCCTGCAAACCGGCCACCAACCTTGTGGCCCTGCGCTGCCCTGACTCTAACCTGGCTATGCCCTTCCTGTAATGAGGGGCCCAGAACTGAGCACAATACTCCAGCTGCGGGTGCACCAGAGTTGTGGGGAATAGCAGTAATACCTCCATCTAGCAGCGACGCTTCTGGCTATGCACCCAAGGGTGGCGTTTGCCCTCTTGACCACCGCTTCACCCGGCTGGCTCATGTTCAGCCTGCAGCCGACCAGCACCCCGAGGTCCCTTTCACAAGTGCTGCTCTCCAGCCACTTGTCACCTAACCTGTACTTATGACACCCATTCCTATGCCCCAAGTGCAAGACCTTGCACTTATCCACATTGAACGCCATCCTGTTTTCCCCCGTCCACTTCCATAGTCTGTCCAGATCCTTCTGGATCCGGAGTACCTGCTCCTCAGTTGTGGTCACTGCCCCAGTTTTAAGTATTGTCTGTGAATTTGATCAGCAGACTGGTCACCCCTTCTTCCATGTCACTGATGAAAAGAGTGAACAGGATCAATCCCAGGACAGAGCCCTGGGGGACCCCGCTTGTCACTGGCTGCCATCCTGATGATTCCTCGCTAATGGTTACCCTCTGCCTTCGGTCAGTGAACCCTGCCCTAATCCACCGGACAGTGCTTTGGTGTATCCCAAAACTCCCCAGTTTCTCCACCAGGATATCATGGGGCACTTTGTCAAAGGCCTTGCTGAAATCCAGGTAAACCACATTCACTGCATCCCCTCCATCCAGCCACCTCGAAACCTTGTCATCGAATTGCACAAGGTTTGTCTGGCAGGACCTGTTTTTGTGGAAGTTGTGTTATGTGGCCACTAACCTCCCTTCTCTATCTAGGGTTACTCAATCTTTCGCTATTATGAGTCTTTCCATTGTTTTTCCTACAATGGACGTAAGGCTAACTGGTCTGTAATTCCGCATGTCCCCTCTACTACCCTTTTTGAAAATTGGGACCACTGATGCCACCCTCCAGTCCTCTGGAACTTCACCCGTTCTCCACGAGGCCTCAAAAATGGAGGCCAGAGGCTGCAAGAGAACCCCTGCCGTCTAAGTGCTCTCGGGTGTAACCCATCAGGGCCCAATGCCTTTGTAATGTCCAATGCCCTGAGGAGCCCCTCGACTTCAAGGGGGGTGACTCTAATCTGTGCCCCTAAGTCCCCAGCCTCATCTCATCTCCCATACGGATCTCCCCCGTCCTGCTTTGGGGAGAACACAGAGGCAGAATAGTCATTCAGCATCTGTGCCTGTTCCCTCATATCAGTCACTGGATCTCCTTCCTCCTTATTCAGCGGTCCCACCACTTGTCTCCCCTTCCTCTTCCTGTTTACATGCTGAAAGAAGCCCTTTTTGTTGCTCTTGATATCCTTGGCAAGTCTCAGCTCGTAATCAGCCTTAGCCTTGCAAAGAATCCTTCTGCAACGAGACTCCATGAAGTTTCTTGTGAAGCTCCAGGACTGGGAATCCACCCAACCGGCGGCAAATGGAGCACAGCTGGTGCCGTACGTGCTTTCATTTCCTCTCTGCAGAGCCGGGCGTGACGTGTGGGGCAGGAGAAGCTGACCCTGATGGGGCAGAGCGGATGTACCGAATGAAGGCTGCCAGGTTCAGCCGCGGCCCTTGAAGGGAGCCAGCAGAGAGAGCCCATCTCAGAGAGAAACACGACACGCTGCTTTTGAGGAGAAACAAGCTTTATTATTGCTACTGCGCTGACCGGCGCACCGGTCTAAGCGCATCCAAGTGCCTGGCCCAGCCTGGCAGGGCCTCGCACCCCCCGCAAGCTCCTGCCAGTTTATTCAGGCCAGCCTCGCCAAGAGGGCTTGGCTTGGAGGGAGGCCGTCACTGGGGCAGTGCAGTGCAGGGGGCGGGAGGAGCTGCTGCTGGCCGAGGACAGATCCAGTTGGACGGGAGCCGGGTCTACATGTAAGGGGGCAGGTCCTTCTCGATGACCTGAGGGGAAAAGGGAAGAGACAGTCAGGGAGGGCGAGGCCCCTCCCCGCCACCCGGCCTACATGCAGCGGCGACGCCTCCCCCTTGAGCCGCGCGTGAAGTGAACCTGGGCCCCACCCCAAGAGGGAGTTAGCCGGAGCAAGAGCCTCGCGCTGCCTGCCCAACCCAGTGGGACAAGGGTCCCTACAGCGGTGTGGAGGCTCGGGGACTGGGCGGGCACGTGCAGAGGCTGCTGGTGGGATGAGGGGGGCTCGAGTGCAGGGAACGCCTGGATTTTAACGGAGCGCTGGGCTTGCTCGCGGCCTTCTCCAGTTGAAAGGAAGGGGCAGAGAGGAAAGCTCCTCCGAGCCTGAAGCCCCTGCAAGCTGCAGCTGGTCAGAGTGACCATCCTGGGTGTGGAAGGAACGTGCCCTGAGCTGGCATAAAGCAGCTTTCCATAGCCAAATTCTAACTTTAGTAAGTCTTGTTCCAAATTCTGGCTGAGCATGTGTGGGATGGTGCCCTAAGGGGAGTTTAAGCCCTCCAAAGACGCCACATTAAAGCCAGGGAATTGGGCCTGATTGGCACCGGATCAGCTCTGCTGGTAGGAGTGGTCTTCCCCCAGCAAGCCCTCCAAACCCCAGGAACTTCCACATAGCCCAGAATTCTTGCAGAACATGGTAGGAAAGGCAGGTTTTGTGGTGGGACAAGTGATAAGCCACATCCCTTCCCCTGATGGAGGGCAGAGGCTGGGTGAAAGAGCGGGACCAGGGATCGCCAGCACAGCACGCGGCCCCCGCTCAACACCGATGTGTGCAGGACCCCGGTGTCTGCCCCCACAGCGGCCCCAAAGCAACCCGGAAGCCCCGAGGCAGTGGCACCATACCACAGGCCCTTCCCGCAAGCCAGCACCTATTTCACAGCATCTCTGCACTCCAGGCGAAAGCGGGATGGGCGGCAGCTTACCTGGGGGTCATCCATCGGACTGTATCTTTTCACCACCTGGCCCTCCTTGTTGATGAGGAACTGCCGGAAGAAGAGAGGAGGAAGCCAGTGAGGCACGGGGGTGCTTGTGGCCCGGCCAAGGCAGGGTGACCCGCAGTCCTGGCTACCGGGCAGCCGTTAACCTGGCAAAGACTCACCTTGGTGAAGTTCCATTTAATGGCGCTGCGGGTGGGAAAAAGAACAAAGCATTTTAGTCCTGAGATCAAGACAGGCAGAACACCCACAAGGACTGGGGCGGGCCACACTCCCACTGGTCCTCTGGCGGGGGCCGATGGGAATCTGACTCCTGAAGGTGCTTCAGCCTACAGCCAGCCCTCCCTTGAACTAGAATAAAGCCAACTTTCAGGGCCCTAGGTGGGAATCCGACCACTACCTGAGGCCAACACACTTTCCCGCTGCTTTGGTTTGTTCTGCACAATTCCCCTCCAAGGCTTATTCTCAATGCACGTGTTTTTCTGGTTTTAACAGACTGTGCCCCACCCAGGGAAGTTCAGTCTCAAGGGTACAACCTAAACTGAGAAGACACGGAGGGCGGGAGGCGGAGGGAAGACAAATAAACCTAAGGCAGCCATTCCAATCTATTTAGAGCAAAGAAAATGTTCTCCAACCCCCAACATTCCCCAGCCGGGGAAGTACACCTTTTCGTAGCCTAAACATGCGTCATACATAACCCTGCCCCAGTCTTCTGCTTCTGTGGCTACGCACTGGGCAGTGCAAGTGCCCACATCTCCTGCCGTGTCCCTGGTCTTCTGGAACAACGGCTGGGAGGAAGTGAAACACTGAGTGAGAGAGGCTGAACCGCGTTCTTGCGCAATTCTGCGAGGGGGTTCCCTTTGTTTACAAAAAGGTTCTGCGGAGGAAAGGAAGATCAGCAGGTGACTTGCGCCACCCTTAAACCTTCTCAAGCTACAGCTCCCGTCATCCCTGACCCACGGCGGAGTGGACGAATCTGCTCTCGTCGGGGCACACACTCACTTTCCCAGAGACCCCCGGCCTTTGGGCTGGCTCTTCATCCACTTCCAGAGAGGGTGGGCGCCGTCCCCGTTGACTTCGATCTTGCCAAACATGTCAAACGTCACGCCGTATCCAGCAGCAAAAGCTTTGATCTCCTCATTGGTGCCCGGCTCCTGCCCAGAGAGACTCGTGGCGTCAGGAGAGCTGGGTAACCACCGGCAAAGGGTGTGTGGGGGGGATACTTCGGGCCCCCCACTGCCAACACCCACCCCCAGAACAGTGCTTGCGTCTTCCCCCCCTTCTCCTACCTGCTTGCCAAACTGGTTGCAGGGGAAGGCTAGGATGCGTAAACCTTTCTCAGCATATCTGCTGTAGAGCTCGACAAACTGAGTGTAGTTTACGCCAGTCTTGCCTCATTTTGACGCGACGTTGGTGATGATGCAGACGTGGTCCCTGGGAGGAAGCGGGATCGAGCGAGACCGTCATGCGTGACCGGTGGCGCACTGGCCTGGAAGCATGGCCGGCTGCGTGTGGCAGGGCTCACTTCTGAGGACGTCGCACAGAGGGCGGTGGCACAAGCCAACCCTCCCCTTACCACGGCGCTCTCCTCCGGGCCAGCGAGTCCAGCCTCGGAGGATGCTGCAGCAGCCCCTGCTCTAATGGCCACTACTGAATGCCTCTCCGGTTGCCGGGAAGAAGTGTCCCACCTGCTTTCTCCCCCACGTGTTCCCCCACAACACATCCCGCAGCAGCTGCTACACCAAAGCCCTGGCTGCCGTGCTGCCGCCTGACCTGCTGCCCTTACTAAGCCTCAGAAGCAGCTGGTATTTGCCAATCCCTGGAGCACCCTCCAGCCTTCCTCCTTGCTCTTACAGTCCTTTTGCCCAGTGCCCAGAGCAGGAGTGCCCCACCACCTGCCACACTCACCTGTATTTCTCCAGGGAAACATCATTGCCATCAATATCCAAGGCGTGGAACTCGTAGATGGATTTGGCTGTCTGCCAATCTGAAGGTTGTGCACACTGAAGGGACAGAAGGGGAAGGCCCGAAGCCTTGCAAGGAAGCTCTTTTCGCAAGGCGAGCCAGCCCCCTCTTGGAGAAAAGCCGTGGGGGCCACGCACCGCTGCCCCTTTCTGCTGCGGCACCCTTGACCAGAAATTGTCGCTTGGAAGAATACTCACAAACTCTCTTCTTGCGGGGCGGGGGTGGGGGAGATGAGCTTCCTTGGCCAACATGGCTCAGCTTCTCTCCCACCTCCAGAAGGTTGTCCTCTGCCGTAGCTGTTATTTATTTTTATTTTTTGAGTGAGGAATGGGAGCCATCCGTGCCGTTGGAAGGCAGCCAGCGCAGGGCATATGATCCTGAGAACCCCCAGGGGCCTTTAATCGGGCCTGTCATTTTTTTTATTTGAACCTTATGGGCTACGTTTAAATCCCATCTAAGGCAGCCCTCATTATCTTTCTTTTCTCTTTTATGAGTGCAACAACCCAACAAAGGTCAAGGACGGCTCCAAAGCACCACACAGAGTTTCCCGGCCAAGCAAGGGCTGTAACCCCCATCTGACGTGCAAAGCACCGCACCAAACCGGTTCCCCACACGCCAGCCCCATTGTGATCAAGGGAGTTTAGCCAGTCATGGCTTTCCAAAGCAGTCCAGGAATACAGAGAGCCCCTTTCAGGCGTGCTGGACGACGCCCAACCCAGAGAGGGCCTTTGGCCCATCCACGAGGAGCATTTCCCAGACTTTGCTGAACTGACTAATCACAAAATCCAATCTGGTTATGTCAGAATCCATCTGCCTCAGAAGAGACAAGGGGAAAAGGTCACCCTCATCTTCAGTGGCTTCTCCTTCGGTCCCAATCCCGCTCTGATCTGCAGAGACAAAGGCTTTTGTCCATTCGCTGCCGGTCCCAGCACAGAAGCCTCCGCATGGGCAATTAAGGCAGAGAAAGATCAGAAGGGATTGCACCAGCTAGGAGATTATCTGGGCCTCCTTTTATAACTGGGCTTATTGAGTCAGAGATAAAGCAGATCTAAGGCTGGAAAACGGAGGTAAGCAAGCCCTTTAAACGGAGTGAGCAAGCCCTTTAAACGATGACTGATCTCCAGGGAAGAAGGGCAAAGGTGGACGCGTTTCTCCACACTCCTGGCATCCTCCCCTCTGCACTGCAGCTAAGCGGCTTGTGATGCTGGTGTCAGCTCTCCTCTGGAGCTGACTTGCAAGAAATATAAATGGGGTAGGCAGTGGGCGGGGAGGGGGTGTAGAAGAAAAGTGAGCAACCCCCCATTTCCTTAAAAATACAAGATGCCTCCTGCCCCCTGAAAATGTTTTTATTGAAGAGCTGGCCTGGTTAGTCATTTGTCAGAGTCAGGAGGACGAGGCTGAAAATTATCGCTCCAGAAGTTTCACAGTTTTCGTTTCAGCAAGCAGCCTGGCTAGTGGCCAGAATGCCAACAGAGCAAAAGAAATTCTAAAAAATGGAATGGCATCGAGAAAACCTTTCTGCCCCTCTCAGTGCTAGTACACAGGGTCACTTCATCACAGCTACTCAGTGGGGTCCAGGCTTAGCTGTCCCTAAGAGGAAACCCACTAAAATTAGGATGTAGCCAAGTGGAACTCAAGTCCCATTGATTTCACTGGGTCTTACCTTATGGTATTAGCCTGGCTCCAACCCACAGGCCAACCCACATTTGGGACAGAAGGGCATCGTTCACCTGTGGAACTCCTAGTCACAAGATGCAGCAATTCCTCCCGGTTTAAGGTGCCCAGCACTGGATTAATTCCAGAAGGAGACCTGCATTGACAGCTGGCTAAGGCAACAAGGGTCCGACGCCCAGAAAATCTATCCCTGAATAACCAGATTCTGAACAGAAGGACATGGCTGCCACTTCCATATGCTCAATCCCTGATTTTTCATGTAGAAGATCAGAACCTGTGGGTCTTAATTAGGCTTCACATGCTGAAGTTGCACTCATAGTTATACTGGCTTTTCAAGTTAGTGTGGACTGCCTTTGGGGCTCCTCCCAAGGCCAAAGGACAGTCCAGAAAGAGCACGGGACACGCCTCTCGCAGACAGAGCTCCCTGGCTCTTCAGGGCCGCCCAGCTGCCAGAACCCAACCATGTTAATGCACTGGAAGGCCCACAGTGGAGCTGGGGATAGGCTTTATGGCTTGTCCACGGCTTGCTGACATGGCTGGGCTCGGGCGCCGTGGCTACCACAGTCACCCAGCTCTTGAAGCAAGTTGCCAGCCACGGCCTGCCGCAGGGCTGGGCAGCCTGCAGTGTTCCAGTTCCCACAGCACGGCCAGGGTTGGGAGCTGAGGCAAGAGGTAGGCTTGAAGAGCTGCAGGCCCACTCCTCTCATCATCCAGGCTGCAGCAGGGCAACGGCAGCGGTTGCGATCACCGCAGGAGAATCACCAAGGACAGCCCCAGGTGCAGTGCGCACTGAGTTAATTACAAAGCACATCTTAATTGCAGTCAATTATTTAGCGCTTGGCATAGCTCAGAGAAGTTCTTAGCTCACAAGTGACTCACTGATAGTAAGCGCACCATGGCAAGTTGTAGGGGAGGCCTCTGATCACTTCTGTTGGGAAAAGCTGGTTTTTGCACTAGAAGGCCCAAAGCAGGAAGGGCCCCGACTCAGAAGCGGTGGGAAGGGTCAGCTACCCCATAGAATTAGGCATAAAGGAATGAAGATTATGAGAGCAGCAGCAGATGTGTGAGGGAAGAGTTTGGGGGCATTCACCCCACCCTTTATGGTTATTTTTATAAAATTAACAAGATGGTTTATATGTACTTCATTTGTTTTCTTCTTTGTCTCCTGGGCTCAAGGCAGCTTACAGAAGTACTTTGATGGTTAATGGCTCTATCCCCAAAGGAACTTACACAATGAGGCACTCTCATTGTTTTCAGAGGGTAAGGAGGGTCCCAAAGCAGTCAGAACAGTCTGAACAGAAAAGTCGAGTCTATTTCTTCTTTCACCTGTACGCATTTGTTTACCTTACATAAAATAAAGTTGTTATTCATTTTAAGCTCTTTGGAGAGAGCATAGAGCAGGCTTTGCAACCTGGTGTCTTCCAAGCGTGTTGGATCAGGGAATGCAAAGAGCTGTGATCCGTGGGCTACAACTAGACAGTCAGCTTTGGCGTGGTGGATGTAAATACCTGAGGCCGCAAGCAATCTAAAGAAGCAAGCTCGAGAATCCCTGAGCAGCCTAAGCCAGTGTGGTGTGCTCCAGGTGTCTTGGACTACAACTCCCAGCATTCTGGACTATGGGCTATGCTGGTCCAGGGCCAATGGGACTGAACCCTAACACAACTCTACTGGACCCGCAACGAGGGGAGAAGCTGCCTGCCCCAGAGGATCATGGGAGCGCTTGGCTAGCCCACTTTGCACCAAATGCACCATGGGAAAGAGCTGCGTCCTACCAGTAAGAGGATTATAGGAAATCCCGGCCACCCGGTAAAATGGCCAAGCCACAGTGAGTGTGTGTGTGGGGCGAGAGGTTAGCACCCCTTTCAGCGGTAATGAGCGGGTCGCTGGGGTGTCCCCCCAAAAAGGGGCGCCCCGAGGCACTATGGGAAATATCGGCCAAGAATGCGCGGAAAGGGCTCGACGGGTCCTCCAGGGCGCACGCTCTGGCCCACCCCAACGACCACTCTATGGTCGGAGCGCGGAGGCGAGGCCGCCGCCAGAACGGCCCACCCAGAGGCCTGCTCGGGCCTGGCCGCCCTCCACTCACCATCGTCCTGCTCAGCCCCTGCGCCGCCAGCAGCCCGCACAGCCACGTCCGCCCCGCCAAGCGCCGCACACTCATCGCGGCGACGCGGCCCGCCCCTCCTTTATCCGCCCTCGGCCGCGGCGCCTCCGGCGGCGGCCAATCCGCGGCCGGCCGCGCGCCCCGCCCCGCCGGCCCACCAGTCAAAGCCGCGCCTGTGCGGCCCCGGCCACTCAGAGGGCACGGGGGGCGGGGCTGGGCCCGTAACGGCCGCCTCCGGCAACGCGAGGCGCTGACTGGGGGTCGGGTGGGCGAGGGGCACAGATTGGCGCGCGCGCGGGCCAATCGGGGAGAGCTGCATCCCTGCGGCTGTAGCCTTGGCGACGGACACCTGGAGGATCCTTAGCTGGGAGGATGGAGAAGGGAGGCGGGCTGGGCGGGGGGGGGGGGGGGGCAGCAGGCCAAGCCTGGTCCCGCGGGGCTGATGGGAGTTATAATCCAGAACTTCTGGAGGCTGGCAGGGTGGGAAAAGCTGCGGGGGGGGGGGATACTCAGAGGGGGTTTCACAGTTTGTGACAAGGGATCCTCAAGTTACCTTTAAAAAAATGCTTTCTATTCCATCCTTTCCTCCAAAACATTCCAGGTAGGATCCAGGCCCCTTCTGACCCATTTATCCTTTCAACAACCCTGTTACTGGAAAACAGTGGTACAGTTTACCTGACAGGAGGGTGGCCCGGGGGAACCCCAGGCTCGTGCCAAATATTAAGAGTCTAATGTCGAGACTTAGAGCCAAAAGCTTTATTTGGGTGCACCTTTGAACAAAGCAGACACACGGGGGCCTATGCCCAAATCAGCGTGTCCCAATAAAGCCTCTGAGGAAGGAAATGTTAATGAACTCAGCCGGTCAGCAGCTGGGACAACCCGGGTGGACCCCAGACCCCAAGCCAAACAGAGCCTGAGACGAGCCTCCGAGCTTAAAGCAGTTTTATTCTAGTGCGCTTTTAGATAAACAGAGACAGGAGAGATGCTTCCCAAGGCAGAGTCTCAAAAGAGGTACAGAGAACATACATTATATACCCAACGTCACAAACATGTCTGGATACAAAGTAAATCCATTCCCCTATTATTGTTTGTTCTGTTTGTTAGTTTACAGAAAAACTCTTTATTTTTCCAAGGACTCCCCTTCTCGTGTCTGCTAATTATCTCCAAACTATGTACACCTGCTTTGTACTAGTAATTTATAATGTAATTTGCTATTTTTATTGAGATTCCAACCAGTCCGAGGTGCCAAGGGTTCTCCCCCCTTGCTCCCTTTGACATCCAGGTGTCCTGTCCCAGGAGTTCACGCAGGGTTCACGACTCTCCGTCCCGTCCCCCCACCCCTCCTGGTCAGGAAATAAATGGAACATGACTGTGGCTGTCTGGCCACGTGGTCTTCCTTGGGTTAGCCTAAGTGGGTTGAAAGGAAGGTTCTTGGTAACAGAAGCAACCTAATATTCCAATGCTCCTCACCCCTGCCAGGCTTAAAGGCTCTTTAATCCTCCCAAGGGCTGCCTGCTGTCCTTCCCTTATCTCCCTCTGATCTACACATGGTTGGAATTAACAAAGTCTCCTGACAATTAACAAGACAATTTGTTATTCTTGCAGCACAATCAACACAACAAGCTACTTTCACAGCAGGCGGATCCCCTTGGATCTTCCTGCCCCTCCGCTATCTATTAAGGTCAGGTCAGCTGCAGGCTATACAGAGTGCACCCCGGTTCCCTCACCCCTCCCTCTTAGAACAGGAGGGCCAACATGGCTGCAGTGTAGACAACAATAAATGTGACCACAGCCCTGCCCCAGAAAAACCCTGTGCAGTTGGCTTATTTTTTTTAATATCTGCCAACTGCTCTGGACACCTTCTTCTTCGCCTGAATGGCAAGATAAAAATTCTTCGAATGTATGTATATATAAAAAGTAATAGGCTAAGAGATGGCACTGTCTGGCCCAGCAACAAGCCTTCCGTACTGTAGAAAACACTGTGGTAAAATTCCAGTCCTTGTCCTTGTGAATCCCAGGTAGGGCAAGGTGCCTTTTACCTTCTACTAAAACTTGGGAAGGAGTTGGAAGAAAGGTGCGATATAAAGAGAGCGAGTAAGGGAGTCTGGTATTCTAGAGACAAGGCCTTCTGAATTGTGGCCCTGTGAGCTGAAATCTCTCTGCAGGGATGTTTCCTCTGCTCTCTCCTCTCCCATTATGAGCATAATGGATGCTCATTTCACTATTTTATTCTTACCTGTTTTAATTACCCACTTTAGCCATGCAAGCTGCCCTGAGAACATCTGTCTGGAAGGCCAGCATGAAACTGTTTTCTGTTTTCTGTCAGCCACGTCCAAAGGCAGAACATAGGTAGCACCGCACAGAACTGTGGGGACAGGTCCCACATGACCTTGCTCTCTTGTGTGCGTCTTGTTTTGCTTCCATGTCCCTTCTGAGTTAGTCTTTTCCTTCCCTCAGAAGCAAGCTGATCTTCTAGCTTTTTCATCAGATTTAATGAAAGTATTGTGCTACCAGGTGGAGGAGGAGGAGAAGGGTTGAAATCACACACAAAGCAAACTCCTACTAAAAACTAGAACCAGCATCAGCCACCATGTCCTTTCATGGCAGATGACTCAGCACGAGTTGTAGGATACAGATTAATAATTATAAATTATTAAATAATTATAATTATGGTGATTATGAAACATAACATCCTGGAATTTCAGTTAGTTGGAAGCCTTTTTCTAGGTTTATCAGTTCTGGCAGCTATACAGCCTTCATCTTTCTTGGTTTAACACTTTGAAGACCAGACGCATGAATCATCCAAGTTCAGATATAAAACTTACTACTTCTTGCCAGGAATTGCAATTCTCCGGGAAATTCCCCTTTAACCAAAGTAATGTTGATGGTTTTCTAAGAAGCCTCAGTGGTAAATATCATAGATACACCAATAAAGCAAGAGATATACGGCTACCAGGAATGCTCCCTTTCACCCCATTTAGGCTAAACCAAGGAAGGCCACGTGGCCAGACAGCCAGAGCCATGTTCCATTAATTTCCTGTCCAGGAGGGGTGGGGGGACGGGACGTAAAGTCGTAAACCCTGTGTGAACTCCTGGGACAGGACAACTGGATGTCAAAGTAATATTTCAGTAATAATTTTTTCAGAGTTGCTGGAAATTCACCCAGTTAATTGTGGCCTAAGTTTCCACAGCCAGCCAAAATGAGAGGGGATGGGCTGCTTCGCCCTGCTTCATTTTGTACTCCAAGGTTAAACTCACCTATTATTCGAGTTAACTTTTGGCTTCCTACTTTAGAATTCCAATCCCCCATGAGGATACGGACATCATTTTTGCTGTTAATTCTGGGAGGTGCTGTAGGGCTTCATAGATCCGGTCAACTTCAGCCTCTCCAGCACCAGTGGTTGGGGCACCTTCCGGCCTCATATCTCTGCCTTTTGGCACTGTCCGTGCGGTTTTCGCGGCAAGGGGACTGGAGTGGGTTGCGATTTCCACCTCCATTGGATCGGCTTTTGACACAGCTCTGTGCTGTGATCCGTCTGCCTGGGTTGACCCTGCACGGC